ATCTTATCAATGATAATTTGCTTTAACTTAAACTTGTATATGTTCTGATATTATAATAATATAAAACTCGATCAGGCACATACACGTAGCTAGTTCAAAGAGTATAAATCGTCTCTTCATCGGGTAGGTCGAGTGGTCTTCAAAAGACATAGAATTTTGTTCGATGATCTGAGAATTCCATGTCGAAATTCTTTTATTTCATCTAAGGRATTATCATTTTCAATAACTTAAATTCGCATCGTAATAAAATATAACCTTTATAATATTGTAAAGCTGTTAAAACTACATAAACTGGTAAAGTTTCAACGTTATAGAGCCTTTCGTTTCGGAATTATTGACAATCAAACACGACGCGCTATAGTGAGAAATGTATGCCGAAAGCGTTCTGGTGGATATGTCAATACCACCAGCAAAATGTCCGAAACTTCAAAGACTAATTATGATGGATTTTTCGACATATTTCAATATCTTTTACTGAAATATACTAAAAATAAATGCTCTGAACATGCTTAAGGTAAAATCTTCCATCTTAGTTTCTTAGTTTCGAGTTTCGTCGCTAATAAGAAACGCGTGACAGTCTTGCGTGACAGACTTTGGGCCCTTATAACTTGATCACAAAACAACGAAATGACTTCAAACTTTTTCATGTTAGTCATCTCAATAGTTTCTAAAACATATTTTGAAATTATTATTATAAGATGTTTATTTCTGGTTTTGGTTTTTCGATGACGTCACATGAAAACGAAGAATATCGAACGTGTTAGCCCACAACAATGCTGAAAGACTTATAAAAACACACTGTCTTCCTATAGAAATATCGCTAAAGCGATTTTACTGTGATGAATATGAACTCCTCTTCAAACATTTCATCGTTAAGAGAGCGAAGGTCGCTCTGAAATGTGGACCGCTGATCAAGAGATTTGCTGGCTCAGAAATACGGACATCGCCTCAAAAATATCGACTTTGAAATGAATATTATCGTGCGACACAGGGATCCCCCTCGCAGCAACTCGCTCGCAGCAATAAAAAAAACCATGAYTCATGGGTTGAGGCTACTTTATTTTGTATTTCAAGTGCAAAATAGCATGTACAATTGAAAACAGTGAAGCGAACATTGGTCCGCAGCTTCCATTGAAGACGCAATTGCATCTAAGAATCTCGTTTCTATTATTTGTTTTGTTTTAGAAATTGTTATTGAAATATAGACTGATGGAGAGAAACGTTTAATATATGTATAATATATATTTTTTCTAGAGATGAGAACGGCAAAAACGTTACCAACAAAGCAGCTTACAATAAACTCATCAAAATATTCGGGAATGTTGAAGATGCACAAGAAAAGAGGAAGAAAGACAAGAAACCGCTTATTCCAGCGAGGGTTGGYCTTTCKCTYATGGGATGGAAACCAAAGACGCAAGCAGAATATTCCGTAGAGTACCTGGAAATCGACTTTGAAAACTCCAAAAAAGCGGAATTAACACCATTCCAGGGGATTTTCGAAAAAGGAGGGGATTTTTTCGCTACTGATGAAAGAGGGWTRTGGAATATTTACGAAGAAATGTATACAAGTTTTAAAGATAAAATAAAGTTGAACACAACTGTTACAGGAATCAAATATAACTCCAGTATTGTTCAGGTAATAACTGATCAGACCATCTAACGAGTATCAGATCTATCATCTGATACTCGTTGTAAAAAAAATTTTTTCGTGGATATTTGAGATATCCGTCGCCAATGTTCTTGTTGGTCTGTGAAACTTTAATTTAAGAACATCTTCAGGCTGGTTTTTCGTTACACACCCGTTAGACAAGAACACAATCAGYCTGAACTCCAAAAATGGGGTGTTCTGATATTCGAGGTCTTACTCAGTGCACGTACTCGATTAATCTAACCCCCTTCTTCGATATAGGTGACAACAAGCGATGGAGAAGTGTATACCGSTGACTATGCATTGTGCACATTCAGTACTGGTGTACTAGCAAGTGACATGGTGACATTCACACCACCCTTGCCAGAATGGAAGCAAGAGGCAATATTAACAATGCCGATGGCTGTTTACACCAAGATTTATGTTAAGTTTCMCACCAAGTTTTGGGACGACAAGGAATTCATTTTGTACGCTGGTCCTACACGTCAAAGCATAGCTGTCTTCCAGGTAATTATTGTAATGGCTTGGAATAGACGCCATGCAAATTGCTGCTAAATGGTGCAAATTTTTGAGCCTTTGTGCTGTAAGCCCTATACCTAATCATATTCTAATGAATCCTTGGGTTTTTCCAGGATCTACAAAGACCAGGAATATATCCCAATAACAGTGGTTTGTTACTGGTCACTTTCACCGGTGACGAAGGAMGAAGGGTCGAAAAACAGTCCTTTGAAGACACAAAAACAGAGATTGTTAAAATGCTAAAAGGTGTCTATGGATCAAATATCTCAGAGCCAACCGGTAGGGTTCCTTTTAATGATGTTTTGTGATAGTTTGACTATAATGGCGAGATAAGAAAAATGGGAAATGAAATTGCCAAAATTTCTTGTCAATCAGTTCAACAGTGAACGAGTGACGGTCTTTCAAATATTCTTTCAACTATAGATGGCATTATCAGTTTTTAAATAGAAAATCAGTACTTGGTGACCCAGACAATGACAAAGATCCATCCTTATTACTGACTTGACATCACTCTCTTTTCTCTATAACTCAAAAAACATCGTCGAACTTAGCGTACGTACGCTCACAGGTAGCCCAAGCACTACACTTGTCGGCTGTTCTCTGAAGGTCTTGTGGGGAAAAACGAAAAATTCCAAAAAAGTAGGAAATCTTCATAAAATGAATTCAAACTCACACAATATGTTGTTCTTAATTTATTACACATCTATGCGAAGTTTCAGCTCTCTGCAGTCAAAAAAACTGTTTTTTTTTCTTGATGTTGTTCCCCTAGATAATAAATACTAGTATTAGACCTTCAGAGAAAAAAGCCGACAAGTGTAGTGCTTGGTCTACCTGTGGTACGCTTTGGAAAGTAAGGTTAAGTGTATATAAAGCTCTTGGCAGCCATCCATTGCTTAAATTCTTTTCAGATATTTACTATCCACGTTGGACCCAGAACAAGTTCGTTCGAGGTTCCTACTCAGAAGGTACAGTTGGTATGACAAGCAAAACGTTTGAAAACCTTGCTAAAAATMTTGGAAATCTGTACTTTTCTGGTGAGGCAACAAGCGAAGATTGGTATGGCTATATGCAGGGTGCTTACTTTACTGGAGAAAACCAAGCAAAATCAATTGTCAAAGCAAATGATTGTAAGGAAAAGCCTCAGAATTGTAACGTCAGCGGGGCAGACAGTTTCCGCGCATGYCCAGCAGTTGTCTCGACTACTWTCATKTTGATTTGGCTCTTTAAAATGGTCRTTGGTTGATTTAATAAGTTGTGAACKCGAATATAGAATGAACATACACTTTTCCAGCAGCATAGTTAGTGAGTGTAAATTGCTGCAACAGATATTTTTTACAATTTGTACTTTTGCAACAGCACCTCTACGTACTCGATATTTGCACAATATTTGCATATATAATTTCCACTTTTGCTGCAGGGTAATTGCATGATTTGTATTTTTGCAGCAACGCATTTACGCAGCGACGCCATTTTGCACAGCAAAGCATGATGGTTGTTGTAGTCCTTGTACTTTTCATGTCCGCTTTTTCATGTTTTTGCTTTTGTCAGCCAAAATAGTTTTTTTTTTACGGTTTCTACAAAGAAAACTTGAAAAAGGCTTTTTAAGGAGATATATTTCGCTGCAAAATGCTTATTTGTCGCTTTTGCATGCTGTATTGTATTTGCACAATTGGATTTCAACGCAAAACCAACCAACCTGAATTCGCTAAACTATACTTAGGTTTAAACTTCAAGACTTTAACACCAGTTTTATTCAGAAATTTTACAAATAGAAGACTATCACATTGTTTTACACTTAGCTCAAGAGCACAACAATCTATCAAGATGTTGATTATTTACAAAGTAGCTCACTAAATCCAAGGTGTTTCGTCGATAAACATTGTCTTTATAGGCCCCAACTAAAAGACTGATCGAAGTGATTGATATTGTGATGTGTGCTCGCTAAACTAGTATAGTTAAATATATAGCAATATTGTAAAATCTGTTTCCGCTTTGCAATAAAAAAATATCCTTTTCACAAAGTGAATGCCCCAAATCCACTTTGCAGTTGAACAATTTCATAACTCGGCGAGAAAAATATTCCACAATAACGATTGACATTTTACGTTTTCAAATTTAAAATCCGGAAGTAATATATTAAAAAGAGTCTTTCTGTGTTTCGATAAATGTACATTTGATAAAAAGAAGATTAAGATTTTAAGATCTTCCAAAGGGAAGTAATGGCAAAACCAGCTGCAAAACCGGCACCAAATGCATATTTGTTGGATTTCTTGTGGTTTTCGATGCGCTGATCTGATTGGTTGACCTCCTCTACGTTAGGTTCTCTGGATGGAGACTCTAAAAAACCGGTCAAGTAACAGTTAGTCAGACAATCTATTTTAAAATTCATTCTTTCAGTACGTCAGATAAGTACATCGATGCGTTTTCATGTCGGTTTTTTTTATATTTCCTCAGCTTGAGGGCGGGGAGCAATACGAATATGCTAGAAAACGTATCAGTGTGAACGAGGTCTAACGTTTTCGTAGCGTTTTTGTATTTGTTTAATTCCTTTGAGGACGGAGAACTATACAAAAACGTTACGAAAACATATCCGTGTTTACGAGGCCTATATAACGTTTTTCGTAGCGTTTTTATTCCTTTGAGGACGGAGAACACTACAAAAACGTTACCAAAAAGCAACAATGTATACGAGGTCTTACGTTTTCGTTACGTTTTTGTACGGAAAACAATACAAAAACGCTTGAAACGATAAAGATCCGCTACGAAGAGTCATCAGTGTGAATTCTAAAAATTGTATCCTTTTAGAGTTTTTAAAATGTAGTAAAATTTTGTATAAATTCCTCGACACGATTTATGCAATCAAAGTATACTTTACCTTCATGAAYCGATAAATGTTGTTCGACGTGAGCGTACATGCTGTCATGATCCRCCATTMTCGCGGTTGCCTTGAATCTTGCTTCGGCRAATCTATCAGCAATWACCGCTGACTCGTACCCTCGGTACTTAACTGGTATCCAGGCTTTTCGAGGAGTTGTGAACTCCACCGTTCGACCATATCGYGAATGCTTCATCGCGAACACATTACTGATGTTCTCCAASAGGCTCCCAAAGAAACAAATTGGCTCGTAGAGTTTACAATCGATGATRTAGTCTATGGAGTCATCAGTAGCGAAGCTACTAGCGAACTCCTCGTCATCTGGTGTTGCTAAGGGGAGAGACCAATCCGTGTCGCTAGGGACGTCATCATCACTGTCTTCACTAGGCTCTTCATTGTCACTCTCTGACACACATTCAGGTGCAGGTTGTGAGTTGATTCTGCTGATGTAGTTATGACCACCGCAATGAAGCATGGATAAGGTTAATCCTCTGTATTCGTCAAACACTGAAGACGATGAACTTTCATAGATGGACTCCTCGTCTCTATCGTCGACATCGGATGGGTCTTCAAATGAGAGGAGATGTTGTTCAACGTTGTTGAACATGCTGTCGTGGTCAGCCATGTTCGCGCTTGCATTGAAGCTCGCCCGGGCGAATCTGTCGGTCACAATAGCCGCTTCGCATCCTCTGAATTGAGGTGGAATCCAAGCTTGTTGAGGGATTGTAAACTTCACCATATGACCGTATTTTGAATGGTTAATAACGAACAAATCACTGATGTTACCAAGCAGYCTTCCACAGAACGTGRCGGCAAGATCATCGTACAGGTCGGTGTAGATATCAACGGTTCGCTCCACGGAGTCATCYGAGCTCAAGCTGCTGGAGCTACTAGAYAAGAATGCGTCATTATTTCGTGTTGCTATGGCAAGACACCATTCTGAATCGCTAGTGAYGTCATCACTAGTGACGTCACTGTCGACGTCATCGATGACTTCATTGGACGCTGACTTTGGRTCTTCTTGTTTATCAACTTCTTCACCACACGCCMCTAAGTCATTGTCTTCCAGRATCTCTGTCACGAAGCCCTGTTGCAGGTTATTGACGTCATTACCCATTGCGTCATTATCGGTTACGTCATTAACCTCATCGACGTCATTATTGGTATCAAGGGAAATGTTTGACGTTTCGACATCGYTATCGTTGTTTTTATCCAAGCTTCCCYTAGAAGCGTTTTCCTGTTTTTCCAGCATGTTATCGTTGTGCAGCTTTTCAGGGTGTGGTTCCAACAGAGAGCGATCCYCTTTCGCCTTGGTTGCTATGAGAACATCGTTGTTGTCATGGCTCTCTGAAATCAGTTAGATGTTAACATAATTATGTAAGAAACATAGTGATATTTCTTAATTTGCATTAATATTTACATTGTTTCTGAATCYGTTATCTTTGTTATGTGAAATTTTGAACTATCATTAGTATAAAAGAAACAACTCAGCGGCAATGCTATATAGATGTTTGCGGTTTTCTATCTGCTGTGCGCATGCTCCGCGATCAGTTAACGTTGCTAAGTAAAGGAAGCGGCTAGCTGGCAGCACTTTAGAACGCGTCAAGTTGCGTCCTTCACAATTTAGCACCCGTGCTGCGATGTAGGACGATTATAGCACCCATCAACTTTCCTTTCCGACATAAATCTTAATTTCTGTCATATATTGCGCTGCAATTTTTATAAAGACATACCTGAACCTACAGAACTTTCGTCACTGTCACTGTCACTGCTGAAATCATCGAGAATAGAAAATGAGTTGTTAATATTACTTCTACAAGCCATGGCACCTTCACAATCGCTRTCGGTGGTATTCCAGGAATCGGTGCTGCTCTTGCAGTCCAGGAAATCTGCAGTGGTGATGGTGTTATCTTCAACCATACCAGAAGAAATCTCGATGCTACTTTTCACGGTTGCACTGTCCTCTCTGTTGGCCATGACAATTGTGACGTTAGTGACGTTATTGTCTTCGTGGTCCATTGGCAATGAGATGTTGTTTGAGTTGTTGGCACTTTCTAAATCCTGGTCACTATCACTGGAATCCAATGAATCGGTACTGTCTTCTCGATCTATAAAACTAGTAGTGACGCTGTTGGTTACGTGAGCCAAGGCCGTTTCAGTAACGCTGCCCGTTCCGTCAGACCCAGTGGTTACGTCAGCCGTGGAGGTTACAGTGACGCTGCTGGATACGTCAGATACGGTAGTTTCAGTAACGATGCTGGTTACGTCAGCCATGGTTTCCGTAACGCCTCTACTAGTTACGTCGGGAATCGTGGCGGTTTCCGTAACGCTGCTGGTTCCGTCAGCCACGGTAGTATCATCGAAGCTGTTGGCTATGTCGGGAACAATGGAATCAGTGACGCTGCTGGTTACGTCAGACGTAGCGGTTTCAGAAATGCTGATGGTTACGTCAGTCGTGGTGGTTTCCGTAACGCTGCTGTTTCCGTCTGTCACGGTGGTATCGGTAACGCCGCTGTTTCCGTCAGCCAGGTTGGTATCGGTAACGCTGCTATTTCCGTTAGTCATGGTGGTATCAGCAACGGTAGTATCATCGAAGCTGCTTGTTACGTCGGGAGCGGTGGTATCAGTGACGCTGCCGGTTACGTCAGTCGTGGCGGTTTCCGTAACGCTGGTGGTTCCGTCGGCCACGGTACTTTCATCAACGCTGCTGCTTCCTTCAGTCAAGGTGGTATCAGTGACGCTGCTGGKTACGTCGGGCGTAGCGMTTGTAKTGCCATTGTTGTTATCAGCATCAGTCMCGGCTACAGCTTGATGGTTTCCASTGTCGAYGGACGCATTTCCTTCAGCCATTTGATGCTAGAAAATGTAAAAGTTACAGTATGTACAAAAAAGATCCAAAAGTACGACAATTTATCAAAACACACAAGAAGAARTAAGAAATTAGTTCTCCAGGTATCAGTACTGATTTACTGTACGTACGAAGTCGAAAATTAGCTTTTAATGGTGTTTTGTCTAAAAACACTTAGTACATGTGTACATTGATGTAAAAGACAGAATAATATGAACACGTTATTTACCTACGAACGACCCGTAACGACTAGGCTCACTTTTAGGCGASAAASCAGCGCTTTTWA